CTCCTCCCCCTTGCACAGCCGGACGCCTGGGCTTGACTCGCCAGCCAGCAGGGGAGCCCCGCGGGCGCACTGCGCGGCCGCAGCCAAACTTGGAGGAGAAGGATGCTGCAAGGGGGCGCCGGGTCGCGGGTCGCGGGGCCGCACTGAGCGTACCCCGCGGGCGCCCTCGGGCTAGCACGCCGAAGCCGAGCTGCCAGGTAGCGGCTCCAGCGCAGGGACTGCGCCAGCCCTGCGAACCAGGGCCGCCAGCGCCACCGCGCCGGCGTCGCCTCCTCACCCGGGAGCCATGGTGCGCGCAGCGCGCACTCCGCGTGCAGGACTCTAAGCCCAGGCGCTGCTGTACGCTCCATCGCCTCGCGCCCTTCCTGGCTCCCTGGGTCCATCTCGCCTGCGGGCCATGAGGCTTTGGCCCGAAGCCCCTCGTCTCTGAGCCCCGCGTCGCCCGCTTCAGTTCTAGTGCCACGCCGCTACTGAGGGGTCCCCGGCAGCTGCGACCTCTGTTCCCTCGCGGAGACTGCACCCAGGCGCCTCAGGATGGCGCCCCTCGCCCCCCTCGGCCCGCGCAAAGTTCGCAGGAGGCGAGAAATGTTGCCGCAGCAAGTTGGCTTCGTGTGTGCTGTGCTGGCCCTGGTGTGCTGTGCGTCTGGCCTCTTCGGCAGCTTGGGTAGGTGGTGGCTGTAGGCTACCCGCGCCCCCCATGCTAGATGTCACCCCCTTCTCTCCAGCTGGGTCTCAAGGGCACATCCAGCTCCCTCCCTGCAGGCAGGTGGAGGGCACCCAAGGGCTGGTATCCGCCTGCTGAGCTGTGGCGCCGGCTCCTCTGAGCTGAGGCGCGGGTCCCTGGGGGCCTAGGTCGGGACAACTGGGCTGTTACAGTGAAGTGGAGACCTGAACTACCTGCCCCTCCGTGCTGGAGTTCTGTCCCCAGAGTGCACTGGGGAAGGGTCATGTGAGCCCTGGGCTCCAGGAGCTGAGTTCCCTGGTCTGGGGAGGGCAGAAAGGAAGTGGTCCCCTCGCCTGCTCAGAGGGTTGTGCTTTGTGCCCCTGGAAAGCCCTGCTTCAGAGACGGGGCCTGTCATGCTTCTCCACCCACCCCTCGACTTTGCCTAGGTGCAGGGGGCCCTCTGGGTGCCCTTCCTGTCCTGTCCTCCCCCAAACTTAAAAGTGTGGGGTAGTTCATCCCCGCTGGGGATTGCTGCCGCGTTTCAGCGTCACTCCTCTCAACTCGGTTTAATCCTCCCGGGAGGAGCCCTGGAGTCTGTACCACACCATCCACACCCCCCCCTCTTCCTTGAGAAGATACCTGGGAGTAGGGGTCCTGGGAGGTGCACATTTAAGGTGGAGCAGGGGCAAGGGAGGAAACCGCAGAAATGTGTCTTCACGGGGATGTGAGTGCCTGAGAGACCTTCAGCCGCATCTTTTCACTCATGTTCAGAGGTGGATGTGCCGATCTTCCTTTTTTTTTTTTTTTCCCATATTAAGAAGAAATGTGGGTGATGTAGAAACCTCAGCATGCTGGTGTTGTAGTACCCTGTCTGTGGTCCCTTCCTGAGCAATTAGAAGGGTCACCTGAATCTAGAAACCCGGGAGGTTTAGGTGACAGGTAAAAAACCCATATGCACCTTGATGGAACTTTAAAAAAAAAAAAAGTGCCTTTCCAAGCTCCAGCTGTGGGTTTGAGGTAACAGAGTTAAATGGGCCACTTCCAGCAGAAGCCCAGAAGGGTTATTTGAACATCTTAATACCTGGAGCTTTGCAATTGGGCACGTCTGTGTGTTTTTTTCCCCTCGATTACCCATGCCAGAAATAACAAAATACCTAGAGGCTCTTAGATGTCAGCAATGTAGAAGAGGCGTTATTACGCAGCCGGAGCTGGGTGTGCATTGGGAGAGGCAATGAAGAAAGCCTGGGAAGGGAGCAAGCCTTTCGTACTTGCTAGATCGGGAATTAGTTGTAGGAGTAAAAACCCCCACCCCCGCCCCTTGGTCACTGGCACCCTTCCCTGGTTACTCAAGTATAATCCTTAGAGCACCAGCATCACTGGGAGCTTGTTAGATATGCAGAATCAGAGCCCCAAACCCAGACCCAGACCTATGGGATCTAAATCTGCATTTTCACATCCGAAGGTGATGTGTGCACGAGTTCAAGTATGGCAAGCACTGGGCCTGTTACCACCAGCCTCCTCTCTTTACCTGCTTGCCCGCTCACTTCTCTGTTTGCAGGCTCTACCACACTGTGCTTACTGGAAGAGCACTTAATGGTGGCCTCTGCAGACCCTGGTGGTGCTAGGGGTTAGGTGTTGGGCTGCTAACTATAGGATTGGAGGTTCAAACCCACCGACCACTCCTTGGGAGAAAGATGAGGCTATCTGCCCTTATACAGATTTAAACAAACAAACAAAAACAACAACGAAATAACTGCCATGGAGTCAATGCTGACTCATATCGACCCTCTGTGGGTTTCTGAGACTATAACTGTCGACAGGAGTGGACAGCCCAGTCTTTCTCCCGAGGAACTGCTGGTGGTTTCGAACTGCCAGTCGTGCAGCCCAATGCATCACCACAACACCACCATGGCTCCTCGTATACCGATGTGCAGCCTTGTAAATAGGCTCCCTATAAACCAGACTCAACCTGATGGCAGGAGGGCTCCAGCCCCTGGCATTCCTGGGCGATGTAAGGGATGAGCATCCTCATCTGCTCACCGAAAGCATCCAGTCTACCCAGAGGTGCCAGGGAAGCAAGGTCTGGCAGTCGAATCCTCCCAAAATCAGCTGCTGCAAGCCCCATGGAGTGCAGTTCTCCCCTGACGCCCAGGGAGTGGCTGTGACTCAGAGCAGACCTGATAGCAACTGATGGATCCAAGCCTTTGTCTCACCTCTGAGGAGCTGTAGGTCAGGGAAGATCTTGTCCCAAAGTCCTATCACATCTTACTGACCCATCTGGAACCAGCAACCATGAGCCAGGTTCAGGAAATGGCCCCGTGGGTGAGCAGGTTATGGGCCGTGCTTCCCCTGACAGTATCCCTCCCCGCAGGGGGTGACACACATGTGCGAGGTCAGGTATGAGGATGCGGGGACCACATGGCCTTATTTTTCAACCCAGGGCATAAAACGGCTTCTGCTAGCAAACCCGTCCTGCCAGACTCCTGGAGAAACCGGAAGCTGATGGCACCAGTGAATGAGACACAGGCAGCGAAGAACTGCACACTGCCAGGTAAGACATTTCTCCCCTTCTCCCCAAGGCTTCTGGCCTGGGGACACCCATGCGTGGACAGGTGCAGCCAGAGCTGGGATAGGTGGGGAAGGGTGGTTGCCAGTTGTGGAAAGGTATTGAGTGCATCAATCAGCCGTGCTGCTAAGCAACTCAAGTGCTTACTTTATCCACAACTGGAAAGGTCACGCTCAAGAGTTTAAAACCTTTATTTCTGTTCTCACAAAAGCTCCTACAGACAAAGTGTTCTCCGCACTCTCCCCATTTGGCCTGCTCACCAGCCACTCTTTGTTTGTCTTCCTTTTGTCCCCTGGCTCCGATCGTTCACTGGGGCTTGCCGGGCAGCCAGTCTGGGCAGCTGGTCCTCTGGGCTGGCTCAGGGTGGATGGTACTGGGGCTGACCCACCCACTTGGGACCTGCTGGGCTGCTGCAGGGATAGGACACTTTGTCGCCCTGGGGCCACCCCTCTGGAATGGAAACTCCTTGGAGTGTTGCACCTTGGGGGAGAGAAATTGCCCACCCAGGGAGGTAGCTATTTTAAGTGTGTCCGTTTGTTGTTAAAGATGCACTAGTTCAACAATTTCAGTGCGTACTGTTCAGCCCTGCTGGTTCCATTCTTCAGGCTGTGCAATTCCACCACCTTGCTGCCCCCTAAGCTTCCCCTCTAATGCTTCAATGTGATCTCACAGAGATAATTCTTTAAAGGAGCCCAGCACTCAAAGCAGATGTTCCCTGCTAATGAAGAGAAGTTCTCTCTCTCTCTCTCTCTCTCTCTCTCTCTGCCCCAAAGAAGACGTCAGGGGGGTAGTTTGGGTTTGAAGTTTAAAGGTGACCTCAGGGCAATATTGTCTGGGGCTCACACAGCCTACAGGACTCGGGGTGGGGCGGGAGTGGGGCTCGGGAACAGGTTCAGTGGGGGATTCGGGATTCTATTGTGGATTTGAAATTCTGCGCCGTGTTTTGGTGGAAGGTCACTGTGATGTACTTCAGGTTTCTCTTGGGGATTCCAGGCTGTCGGGATGACCCTGGATCTGCAGAGGCGGATCCAAGAGGTTAGGGCTCCCTCTGCACTTGGACCTTCCTGTCCTGAGACCACCCTCATGGGCACCGGTGACAACAAGCACTGGACCCATCCTGTCCATTAGCTCCCGCCAGTACACTGTCTTTCTCAGATAGAAGGGGAGGATGTTTGTGCTGGGCTACCATGTGCCTGGGGTTGGGGCTCTCAGCCTGGGGTCACCAGGGTCCTGAGCTCTAGAATTGGCAGCATCCACTTAAGGAACATGTAGCTACTCTGAGTCAAGAACCCCGTGAGCGCATTTCTAGTTGGTGCCTCCTTCACTGGCCTTGGGCTGGCCCTGTCCCTCTTGGGTCACCTTTGTCACACAGGGTCTGAGCCCAACAGTGCAGGGCCCATTTCCTAGGAGGTAGGTGGTTCAACACCATCCTCACCCTTGCTCCCTTGGAGCCCATTGTTGCTGCCACTGCTGCATCACTGAGGGGCTGCCTCTTTGGGTGTGCACCCTGCACCTCACCTGCTCCTGGGGAGGCTCCCTCCTGCTGATACACCCAAACTGTGAGAGGAGGAGTCTGACCACTCTGGCTTCCACAGAGCCCCGTGTCCCCTCATCTCATGACTGAGCTTTCTGCTCAAAAACCCGAGCACGAGAATGCGTCAGCAATCGGTTGGTAGGAAGTGCTGACCCTTTTGGGGATAGGGAACCAGAGCAGGGAGAAGAGCAATGTCTCTCTTGAGCAACAGAAAATATTCGCACCAGGTGTTGTGTGATGCTGTGGTGGGGCCTGGCCCCAAGGAGGCCTTGGCCGGTAAGTAAACGCCGAATGAAGAGATGAAGGTGCGTTTTGATGCCTTCAGCACTCTATCCTTGACAGCGTGTCTGTAAAGATGAGGATAGTGAAACTCGCATGATGCGTGATTTCCCAAGAGCAGGCTCTCTCCCAGGGCTTCTGACTCCAGACTCATGCCTCCCGAGCCCAGCGCACCTGCCCCAGCTCCGTCTCTAGGTTGGGCTGAGCCGAGGCCCAGCGATCTTTCTGGTCTCCTGGTCCCTGGAGCCGGAGATGGTCCACCCCATTTCTGTTCCACAAGGAGGAGTGGCCCAGTCCAGAAGACGCTCACCTACAAACCACAAGGTTGGAGGTTCAAGGCCCGTCCCACAAAGTTGTCTTATAAAAATGTCCAGCCGTTGGCTTCCCAAAGGTCACGGCCCTGAACATCTCTGGGGACAGTTCCACTCTGCACAGACAGGGCTGCCAGGAGTTGGACTTGACTTTGTTGTTTTGTTTAATGTAGCAAGCACCTGCTGGGTGTCCAGTCCTGCTGGGCACATGGGGCGGGGTGGGGGAGAGTCTAAAAAGGTCTAAGTTGCAGCCCCACTTGTCGGCTGGCTCACTATCCTGTCGAAGCAAGGAGGAAGATCTAAAGTTGGGGATAGTTCTGAGCGATGAAAACTGCAATGCTGCCCCCATGAACAGCCCCCTGGGTGGTCCCTGGGTCTCCGGGTGAGTGGCCCCAGGCAGTTCTGTGCCATCGTTTGGGGATCTAGATGAGGCGGGCCCCCTTGCAGTGACAGTGAACCTTCCCAAACTGGGCTCAGCACATGAGGGCGCGTGTTGGTTCTGTTGCAGAAAGAGTAGGGTCCGAAGTGCGGAGGGGTTGCATCTCCAGGCCTGCCTGTCTCTGCGCTTCTCTGGAACAGGACGTAGCTGTACAGGCCCTGCCTTCTTCCTTCCTTCCTTCCTTCCTTCCCAGAAATGCTGGGCAGGAGGGTGCTGTGGCTGAGTTGCCTGTGCAGAACTAGGGAAGCTTGGCTGGTTGCATTGACTGGGGTCACGGGTGCATCCTGGCCCAACTGCTGGCCACCCAGGCCTGGCTTAGACCTGGGGCACAGGCTCCCTCTCTGGAAGGAGGAGGCAGAAGCCCCTCCCTCCTGCAGATAATCTGGGGTTCACCACAGGACCCAACCGGGAGACTGCCTTTGAGGTAGACTAGAGCACAGAGGGACAGAGGGCCACTGTGTCCGATGGCTGCCCTCTTTCCTACCACTTAGCATTGCCTCCCTAGAAAGCAGGGGAGTGGGGGGATTCTCGCACAGCCCCTGAGCCTTGCACTCCTAGCCTTCCGAGGGGAGGTCTGTGTGTGGTGAGGGAGCATGGAGCTGGGCATTGTTCACAGTCAAAGGGTGGGCACGCCCACCACAGGCAGGGTTCAACCCGCTGCCCTTCACATCTCTGCCAGCCTCTCCAGGGCAGGGCCACCCGCCATGTCCCATGGCCTGTGACTTGGTTCGGGGTACCTTGGTGGCGCAGCCATTACACACGAGGCTGCAGGGCCAGGTGTTCGAAACCAGCAGCCGTTTCCACTCCTGCAAAGAGTCAGTCTCGGGAACCAACAGGGCGGTGCTCCCCTGACCTCTGGGGTCCCTGTGAGTCAGAAGTGAGTGAGTGTGGAGTGACTTCCCAGGAGTCTGAGCAGGACCGAGGCTGCCCTAAGACTGTGGCGAGCGAGCTCTCGGCAGATCCCGATTTTGGTCTTTCTGACTCATTATTTGTGTCCCAGCATAACCGGCCTTCCCTGTCCTGACCACTCAGCATGCAGCTTCCCGCCCCCACCTCCCTACCTCTCCCCGCTCTATTGTTGATATGTCACCAGCCGAAGTCATTCCCTGGGTGGCACAAGCGGTTTGCAGTTGGCTGCCAGTCGACAGGTTGTCATTTGGAGCCCACCGCGGAGTGAGTGCCGGGGAAGAGCATCCTGTAAGTCTTCCTTGGTCGAGAGGAGGGTGAAGAGCGGTCTGTAACACACGGGGGTCACTGTGGGTCAGAACTGACCCAGCAGCAGCTGATCTGCATCACCGGTCTGTTTCGGAAGTTCATGCATTACTCATCTTCTGTCTCCTCCTGAGAGGTACCTGTCTCCTTGCATGCTGGCCTCTGGTGAAGCTCTAGATCCCTTTGCTATTAAGCGGCCGAGCCCATTGGTTGGCTCCGCATCCACAAGTAGTAAGAACATTCTCATTGTCGTCTTGTCGATTCTGACTTACAGCGACCCTACAGGACAGGGTTGAACCGCCCCTGTGGGTTTCCAAGACTAAATCTTTACAGGAGTAAGAAAACCTCGTCTTCCTCCCGAAGAGCAGCTGGTGGTTTCGAATGGCTGGCCTTGTGGTCAGCAACTCAACTGCAAAATGCCCAGCAAGGTACCAGAGAGTGAGAGGCAGCGCCTCCACTTGCTTAGCCTGCGACACTCACGCCTCTAAATCTAACCTTCCCATCAGCCCAACGAATGAGACACATTCCGACCATCCCTGTCTTACAGACGATGCCGCAGAGGTTCAGAGAGGGCCGGTGACTTGCGTGGGTTCACACAGCTAAGCAGCAGCGAAGCGGTATTTGAACACAGCTAGCCTATTTGGCGGTGGGGGGAGAAGGGGCTGTCTGGTCCTGTAGTAGTTACAGTCACGGGAACTCACAGGGTCGTTCTGGTCTGCCCTAAACGGTCGCTGTGGGTCAGCATGGGCTCGATGGCAGTGAGTTTGCACTGACTCCATGGTGTCCACCATCACTCCTCTCCAAACTTCCTCCCGCACGTCCGGTCACCTCTCAAACGAAGGCAGCGTGACAGGGAACAGACAAGAAAAGGAAGTGGTGACCGGGGACAAGCGGCATCAGAAGAGGAGTGGCCCTAAATCGGGCTGCACGTCAGAATCACCTGGAGATGCTGATGTGGTTGAAGAATGCCAGGCTCCACTCCAGAGGCCTGCTTTCTCTCTGGGCCCGGGCCATGCCAGGATGAAGCCAGAGGGGAAGCTTAGGAAGCTGAGGCTCCGCTCTGCTCAAAGGGTGACCGGCGAGAGATCTGCTGGCTTCGTGCTGCTGCTGTTAGAACATCCAAGGGTTGCAGAGAAGAATTGCTCCATGTGGGTTTTTTTTTGAGGGGTGGGGGGCGTTTGGCTGTAATTTCAACAGAAGCAAATTGCCA